GTTTCTGGTCGATCTTGTTAATTTCAGCCTGAAATTGACACACTAATTAAAGACCAGCGTGGTAAAGCACGGCCAGGAAAGAATATACCCAGGCTCACCCCCCCCCTTTTTTTTTTTTATCAGATCTACCTTATATTTTCCCAATTAAAAACTGCAAAAAGCAGTTTCATTGCCCGGGGATAAAAAATAAGGGCCCCCTTTTCACAACGTTAGCCATCACTTTCTACCATCAGATTCATTGTGATGTATTAGATGCAATAAATTATCCCATGTAACAAAACATTGGGAGCTGAAAAGCAGATAATCTGGAAAGCAGAGATAAGGATTCATTATCCAAATCATTATGAATCCAGCGTTGCCTCTGACTTCTTTCTTAATCAGCTCCTCTGATCCTGGATATGTGAGCAGTACAGATAAGGAAAGAGTCGTTTATAATTCTCCACCTCGCCTAATATTTTAAAATAAAGTCAGAGGCAAGAAAACGCCATAAAACACTGGTGAGCAGGCAAGCACCGAATGAAAAATCACTTCCATGCCATTATATCCACAGTAAGATTTAATTAAAATTCTCCCCATCCACGTGCTTTATTTTCAGATAGGATTTTTTCCCCATCACGTAATAATTGATAGGAATTTGCAAACGGGGCTATTTATTTAGGATGCCTGGGTGGAATGGGTCTGAAGGTTTTTTTGTGTTTTTCTTTTAATTTCTAGTGGCTCCTCTTTGAAACTTTCACTTGAGACATTCATAGCTCCCTATTAGCCAGGCGCCTACTGCAGCACATTCCCCAATCGGACTGGATCAGGAAAACATACTCAGACTCACAACCCTGGTAGGTGATTTTAATAAAAATGTTTTGTTGAAGGTTGTGAAAAAAGAGAGTACTAGGCTCCATCTCCATAGCCTTTGCATTCTTTCAAGCCAAGCCTTCTTCTTCTACACTTCCATCGTAAGTTTCAATAAGTGGGATTGAAAGATTAGAATTTTGTTTTATTTTTCTATTTTGTTTTATTTTCAGGCAAAATCTCACTTTGTAGCTCAAGATCTCCTCAAACTCATGATCCTCCTGCCTCAGCTTCTCAGATGCTGGGGTTACAGGTGTACATGACCACACCTGTCTTGAAGGATTAGAACTTTTAAACGCAGGGTAATAGTTCAGCACATTGTCGTTTGGCAGAGTGCCCAGCTAAAGTCCTAATGTAATCTCAAAGTGAAAACTGAAATGGAAGCAGGAAGATGCAGAAGACTGATAGACACAGGGAAAACCGCTTCCTGGTTTTAGGGGGGAAAATGGGATGATGGGAGCACACTGGAACAGGATGACTGTGGATTCTTCATCCCTACACAGAACAATGCTCCACTAACTGACCACACAGTCTTAGAAAGATTGGAGATTCTGTCAGAGATTATTTCCTCCATTTGGGGACTCCTTTTCTTTATCCAATGGGTGAATCTATCTCCATCCCAGAGACCTGCACTCAGTGATTCTTTTATCCCTTAGACATTTACTGATCCATCTTCTTCTTCCAAGTGCCTGGTGACCCCCCTTTATATTTCAAACCCTAATGCCTTAGATTCTGATCTCACAAAAGCTATAGAACTCACCTCTGGGTTTGGAGCAGCTGGTGATGGTGGCCATTAGGAGAGTGCCAAGGCCTCCAGGAATGTCCCAAAGCCAAGATGTGTCCCCAGGCCCGGGGCTTCACACCATCTCCCTAGCTAGCTCAGCTCACAACCCTTACCAAAGTAGAGTGACCTCTGCCTCTCGTCCCTATTCCCACCCCACACACAGGTTAAATAGTTAAAAGATCAGCAGAGGTGGTTCCATCAGGGGAAGTGGAGTCAGAGAAACCTGAGGTACTGAGCTAGGGAGTGCAGTGAAGGCTGAGGTAACCAAAGGTGAAGTCTTCAGGGTTCAGTGGCTGTGAACTGTCCTGTGCCTTTGTGATCTAGGTGTCCAGAGAACACATACACACAAACTCCTCAATGAAATCACTCCCTAAAATTAGCAAGTGGGACCATCCTGTCCTCCAGGGAGCCTCAGAGCAATCCTGGCTTCTTTGGTACATAGCATGAAATACAGCCACTCTTGAAGGAGAGGCAATGTTGTTTCTTTTCTCTCGGCCACAGGTACACACACACACACACACACACACACACACACACACACACACACACACACACAGAGAGAGAGAGAGAGAGAGAGAGAGAGAGAGAGAGAGAGAGAGAGAGAGAGAGAGAGAGATTTCTGTACAAATCCATGAGCAAGAGCAACGGCATTTTAAATTCAGAAAGCGACTCATGACTCCGTTAAAGTACTATCCTTGTTGTGTGCCCCACTGATGTCCAGGAATCAGGAATAAACCCTCAATTCTTCCATCCAGGAAATGACTCAGAGCTGTTCCCTCCCTTTACTACTCAGAAAAAGCCCCCCACCTCCACCCCCCTTTGTGTTCTGTTTTTCAAGACAGGGTTTCTTTGTATACCTTTGGCTGTTTTGGAACTTGCTTTGTAGACCAGGCTGACCTAGATAGAACTCAGAGATCCACCTGCCTCTGCCTCTGCCTCTGCTCTTGCCTCCGGAGTTCTAGGAATGAAGCAAGTTGTTAAAAGCCTGCTACCATGCTGGGCTCTCTCTTTTCTTTACCTCACTTCCTTCTCACCTTCAATTACCGCCCCCCCAACTCCCCAATATTATTTCCACCTTGTGTCCATTAAGGTTCTAGAACCAGATCATGCATTTAGCCCCCTGTCCGACCACTGCCATCCTTAGGATTTCCTTTTTTAACCCCCGAATTTCTTTGATAGCCTAACTTCCTTCAGTTAAGGCTTTTGGGAGCGATGGGGGGTTTTGTGGGGGTGGGTGGGCATGCGATCACATTTTCCGCACCTCTTTACACTTTAGAACTTTGGCGATCAGAAGCCGGTGTCTGCAGAAATGAACGCGTGCAGCCAGGCCAGCAGACCCGCGGAGACCTGGGGGAGGGAAGATCGCCGGTGCTCGCCAGAGGGATCCTTAGTGGAGGACTGGAAGAGGGAAGAAAGTTTGCGGCAGGACGAGATATATACTCTAAAGGGGAAAAAAAGCTTTCAAATTGGAGGCGAACTTGTTGAGGGTAAGGAGAGAGGGGCGGGACATCAGGAAGCTTTAAAGGGGACCAGAAGCAAGAGAGAGAAGCTTGGAGAAAGCCATAAATGGCCCCACCCGCCTACTGCACCTGGAACTGGGGTCTAGATACCGCTGGGTGTGTGTGTGTAAGGGGGGGGGGCACTGTAGTCACATGAATGCATGCATGCCTCCCAGGTCTCTGCTAGAGCTCCCAACCAGTCGCGTATAAGGAGGAAGGGTGCTTGTATCTCCTTTGTGTCCTGGAAGCCAAAGACATCTTCCTAGGTCCCAGGGCTTTCCTGGACAGTTCCCCAGGATGCATCAAGGCAACAGGTTGGGCTCTGGCTGTGGAGAGCAGGGCCCCCACCTAGTCTTCAAAGCTTCCTGGAGAGCTTGACTCTGCCACTTGGTGGCGGTGAGCTGAAGCGACAGGGCTGGGGACAGAGGCAGGGTTGCTTCGGCGAAAATGGATCTTCCGGGATCCCTAAAGGACCAGAAGATCACCGACTCTCCTTTTCCCAGATTGGAAAATGATGTTCTCAGCTTGCCCGACTCGACGCTTCATCGTACCCTAGAGGGTGCCCCGCTGAAGCTCAGACCGGCTGGCAGGCGGGTTGGTGTCTAAATGGAAAGATTTTCTGGTCTGTGGAGCTAGAGACAGGTCACCGACCCCATCTAGGGGAAAAGAGTGCCTGTCCCTGCACCACCCACTCTGCAACGTGACATCCACCACCCGGTACCTCTCTCCACTCCACGGGTCCCCACGCCAACACTTTTGGGCCTCCCCCACTTCTCTTCCCTCCTCTGTCCGGCCCTACCTTCATCCACCCAGCAGTTTCTTTGACTCTGGTCCCAGGGACTGACTGCCCGCCCCCCAAAAAAACGTTACCTTAGGACACTGAGCCACCCCCTTCCTACCCAACCAGTTGAGGCAGCCTAAACTTATTGACTTCGTGGTTCAGCCATGGACAAATTTTGTTTTATTTCTCCCCAAAGATATATTTATTTTTAAAGTCAGTCTCCATATTCTTTTTGTATAAATATTGTGAAGGGAAAACTCGACCTGTCAAAACAAGTGGGCCCTGACCCTTTTCTACCTCAGTGTTTATGGAGTTTCATTTCACTCTAGCTGAAATTTATTCGTGGCAGATTCCCCTGGTGCCCTCACTATCAGGGTGGGGATGAGAAGAGAGTGTGTGGGGGGGGGGAACCCCAAGAGGAGCGCTGCTGTTTCCTGGGTTCTGGGTGGGCAAAAGGCACTGTTTCCCTTCAGAGATTTTCTTTCTGGGCGTTTCTGGTTCCTGTTTGTTTCTCCTCAAAGGAAGATTTTCCCTTGGAAATCTTTAAGAGAATTGAGACCCTTAAGACCCTTTAGTCTGTGTGCCACTGATGAATATTCATCTACACATGAGTCAGACAGTGGCAGCCAAGCCAGTCAAAAAACATTCCAATTCTAACTTACTAGACATCCCCAACTCAAGGTGTGGTGGTGGTAGTGGGGGAAGTAAGGGCAAAGACCCTGCTTTTGGGAATGGGGGTGCCAGTGTAAATCCAAACTTGAGGAGAAGACAAGCGCTTTGAAGACGTAGGTACTAGTTCGCTGCTCTGGATATGATGGTCACTACTGGCTGTGCTCTTAGAAGCTCCAAATGAACCCCCGTTTATTCAAAAGTGAGAAGAAAATGCTTCAAACATGTTTATACCGATGGTAATGACCCAGTCCACAGAACAGTGACGTTTATAGTGTTAATTTCAACCCTGCCAGAAGACAGTGGGCTGGCTTTGTAGGCGCCAGGGGCAGGTCACATTTCAGGCGATCTTTCTTGTTCCCCCCCCACCCCCCCACCCCTTCCAACTCTCTCAGTTTCACACACCTCTGATGTGTGGTTTGTGTGTTTGCAAAAGGGGGATGCTATTCATTCCCCCCCTCTTTCTTCTTCCCTCCCCCCCTCTCCCCACCCCTTTGCAACCCGGAAGAGCTCGGCTGTCTACAGTGAGCCAAGGAAGGCCGAGGGGAGGGGGCTCTGAGCAAGGATTCACATCAGCCAGGTTTTACCTCTGGCTGGCAGCCTGACTGAGATGCAGTGAGGCAGCTGCAGACCAGGACTGCGGCGGCGGCGGCGGTGGGAGCTTCGGCAACAGTGGTGAAGTCTGCCTGTCATTTCTACCTTCAGATCTCCGGCAAGTCGGGTGGAAAAAATAAAAAACAGCTGGCCCTCAGCAGAGAGCTGCCCAGGTCAGTGAGTACATAGCTCTCTCCCTTTCTTCTGTTCTCCTTCTCCCTGCTCCACGTGGAGAGAATTAAGAGGAGGTCTCCCCCGTGGGGACAGCTGCCTCTGGAAGAAAGTCAACTAGACCCTAGTCCTTTATTGTTCTTTCTGGTCACTGGAAATCTTTGGCTTTCTGCCGTGACCTTGGGTGATTATGGTGTGGGAGGGTGTAGATGTCCTTGTTTTGGAGGAAGGGGCTCTTGGAACTTGGGGTGCCAAGAAAAACTGAACAGGAGAATAAGAGCTGGTGGGGATGCTTGGGAAGGGGCTCCGGATAGGTGCTTTTCACTGCATGGAGAACAGAAAACTGAAGGAAATAGCCTGTCTGCTCAGGAGCCTTCTCTAAAGGTGGCTGCAATGTCCAAGTGTCAACTCCATGTTTATTTTTCTCAGCTTACAAGTATATGTTTAGGCGGTTTGTCTCTGCATATCATTTAAGAAACAGATGTGCACTGAGAGATAAAGTTGGAGCCCAGATGTGTCCGCATCTGGCATCCCTTCAGAGTAGCTGGTGGTAGGTGTCCTTGCTTACAGAAGCACTCTGAGGTGGGCGAGAAAACCAGTTTCCCAGAGAGGGTGACCAGGGTTACATGGAGGGAGAAGGACAGAGGGTTTGGACTTTCTCCTGGGATATCGGACCTCCAAGATGCCACTCAGAAACATATGCGCCCACAAAACAAACAAACAAACAAACAAAAAAACAAGGATAATGTTAAAACGCAAGGAAAGTCTGGTGGATTTGAGCGGAGCAGTTGTCTAAAAATGTTATTTAATAGAGCAGGTGATAAAGTGACAAGTGTCATTCTGTCCAGAGTAGGAATGGCCGTAACCTTGCCTGCTGCATCACCCTTGACTTGAGTTTATTTCCTATAGCTCTTGGCCCTCTCCTGCCCTTATAGACCACAACAGGACCCTGGAATCATGGTTTGAGAGTCTCAGGACTCTGAAGGGACAAATAATGAAGGTAGCCTTTCTGCAGCCCATCCACTTTCCAGTGGTGGTGGTGGGCTGTTTGTCCAGTGACACGTTAAGGGCCAAGCAATCTCAGGCAGTCAGGTTGAATGCATCCAGGTATTTCTAGATAAATGCTTGGCTGCCCAACTTGCTATTTGTGGGGAAGAGGGCTTACTGTAAAATGGTTGCACCCACCCCCAAGAATAAAAATGTTCTTCATCAATTTGAACTAGGTCTAGATGTAATTTCTGTTCTGATAGACCAAGACTGTCGGTATCAATGAGCTCTGGTTGTTGATTGCTTCTTACCTTAGGATTTAGCAGAAGACCCAGCTTCAAGGTTCAAGCCAGTGGCTCAGTGAGGCCTAAAGTTCCTTGCTTGAGGACACACGAGGGCTTAGAGAATGCCATGCATGACAGTGGTCTACATAAACTGTCATTTCCAGCAGCCCCTGATTCTCTGGCCCTTTTCTGTTACAATCCAAAGCCGGGACACAGGGCAATCTGCATTTTCCTTTATTTACTGTTAACTCTGCCTTCTTGCAGGAAATACTTGTGCTGGGTGTCAGGCAGAGACACAGTGAAGGAATGGATGCAAGCATCAGGGTGGATGGGGCCCTTCTGTCGGTTTGCCAATAGCCCAAAGTCACACAGAAAGGCCCAGGGAGGGTGCAGGCATGTGGGAGTCCCAAGGCTTCCATCTCCTTCGGCAATTTGTGTCCCCATAGTGAAGACTGAGATAGAGAAATAAGGATTCTGACACTGAGTGGGACAGAAAGGAGAAACCTTCTGTTCTTTAGCCCTGGGCTGTTTTAACAATCTCTAGGCTACCCTGGAGGATTGTTTTATTCTTGGTGTCTAAGCCATTTCACACTTGAGTATGCGTTCCTTTTCACGTATGTCTTTGTGTGCCAATCCAATATTACTGATTACTCCCTCCGCACACCACTAATGGTTGGAATACCAGGGAGGCTTATTAACTGTGGGGAAGGAGTACCCTGTGCTTCATGCGGGGTCGACTGGGACTAGGGTGCTGTTAGGTGAGTGCTATCAAAGTGAACGTGAAAGGGTTGCCGGGCGCTCTCTCTGAGGTCCAGGTTTGTCCGGTGGAGGGGGTCTGCAAGCAGCTCATGATGAGTAAGCACGCGTGTCTGGTGGTTGTTTTATTTTATGTAACAAATTGCTGAAGTTCACGAGGTGGCAGGCTGTGGAGGGTGCCCACCAAGCCGGGGGCCGGGGGACGACCTGGACCCGAGAGTCACCGGCAGGCAGTAAGGCAGGCATCAAGCAGGCAGCCTGATAGTATAGCCCTGGTCAAAGGAACCGTGATGCTAGGGAAGTCTTGGTTTTGCACCTCCGAGCCCGGCATATTCAGCTTTTTCTACGGGGTTGCCTGCTCGTTCAGTGGCACTAAGGATTTCATGCTTTTTACAAGCCAGCCTTGGCTCTCCGCGGGGTCTAAATCTCACCACCTTCCCATTTTTCTTCCTTTGCTGTGAATCCCTCCACAGCCTTCCCCGCGCCTCAGCCCTCGTCTTCGGTGGATTGTCCCTCCACAATCGGCGTTCTAATTCCTTAGGCTAATCTCGAGAAGTCAAAGCTCAGCATCTCCAAGATATAGCCCGTTTTCTCCTCTTGAAACCACCAAAGCGCAGGAAAAAGAGGATGCTGAAGCAGGCGCTGGGGACTGGCGGGAGGGCACCTCACCCAGTCGGGAGAACCGGGGGGCTAGGATCGAAATGAGACAGGTGACCGAGGCTGGCCCTCCTGCATCTTTCCTAAGACCAAGAGGCCTGTGTGTTCAAGTGGTCGAACCCCAACCACCTGGCTCCGGATTTTCTTGGATGCTGGGCAGAATCCTGGGGGCTTCAAAGGTGGGGACCTGGGGCTGGCTTCCCTGGGAGCAGGCCGGATCTAGAAGCTGAATCTTCCACTAAAAATTAATGTTGCCGAAGGTCAGGGGAGTGGCTGCGGGGGGGCCTGCGCTTCCCAATGGGTCACCGGCATCCTTTCCTCTTTCCCACGGTTCCTAAGCCTTCAGGGCTAGGACCCCGGGAGAGCAAAGCAAAAGTGCACCCTTTTTCCTTTCTGGGTGAGTTCTTTCTCTTCCCAGCCTAGGCAAGGGCTCCCCAGTCACCCTCCCTCTCGCTTGTGCTTTGTTCTATTCGAAAGCAGAAATCCCCGGTCTTCTCCCTGTCCGCCTGCCCCTTTCCGCTTCACCCCTACCTACCCATTTTTTTTTTTTATTTAATCTCGCCATAATCAGGGGTTTTCTCAAGGGGCGGGGGAGATCATACTGGTTGAGGGAGGGCCAGAATCCCTAGAAGCTGAAGGTGCAGGCCCGGGCTGGGTTGGGGGCGGAGTGCGAGGCGGGTAATCGCCGCCGGGAGCATCTCTTCTCTTGTGGACTCTCCGCGTCGTTTGCGGCTCCTCCCGGCTTGGGCGGCTTTCCTCCTGTGTTTTAAACTGTGATAGATGAATGAGCAAAAAAGAAAAAGACAGAAAAAAGAAAAATCAAATCACATAGCCAAAACAGTGGCTCATTTTGCTCGGAGGGTGGACCCCAGACCCGCGGCGGGTGGGTGTGGGAGCCGGGAGATCTGTGGGTGCATAGTCTTTTCATCCAAGTTCCCATGGGTCTCCCCACCCACCGGAGGCTTCCACTGCCAGTTCCTCTCGTGACCAGTGACTTTTAGGGTCTTTCTACATCACTAAAGTCCCCTGCCCACTGTTTTAACTGGAAAAGGGTCTCCGTTGATGAGCGGGCAGCCTCAGCCAGCATGGCCCATTGCCTGACTTCGGTCCCTACCGCAGTTTGATTTTGCTCTTTTCTGCATTTCAGCTCATGCGGGGGGAGGGTGGGGGGAGAAAAGGGGACACTTTGAAAGCTACAGTGATACGAACGTAATTTGTGTTTAACCTGTGAGGTCCGGGTCGCCAAGGCGAAGCGGCCTCCCCAGCGGTTTCGTCCGCTGAAGCCAGGCTGGCCGGTGGCGCCTTGGGGCTGTGTCCCCAGCATAACCCTCCTGTCCCGCAGCCAGAGAACTGTTTATACAGCTTTACCTGTACTGTTCTCGTATCCAGTAAAAATCCTCGCCCGGCCTGGGTAACCTAATCCGGAGGCTAAAACGGAGGAGGGGGTAGTGGGGCTGACTCCAGAGAAGGAGGTGTGTTCTGCGACACAAGCAGGGGTCTCTCCTTTGCTCCTCCCCCGATTGGGAAGGTAATTCGGATTTGGTTCGAGGAACCGAGGTGGGGATGTAGGATTTAGAAAGGAGACGTGGATTCATGTCCCAGCCTTCCCGGCTTTTTTCCCTCAAACAGGCACTGTGGATTGACGCGGCGGCCGCAGCTCCAACCCTCGCTCCAAGAAGGAACAGTAGTCCGGGGGGTGACCAGTGGGGACTAGCAAGACCAAGGACGAGTCTCCCACCGTGGCCTGCTTGGGGCAGATCTGCCTCCCCCAGCCTTTCTTTTACAACTCCCAGGCCTAAGACAAAAAGATCAAGGAACAGAATCGGTACTTTCACAACCAGACCCTCCCGGTTAACCCCGGCCTGTTAATCGCTGCGCCCGGGTCGGGATTGCAGCGTGCACAGAATCGAATTAAACGCATCTTGGTAGTTATTGTCTCTTGCTAATTGCTTCAACAATGGCCACTGTTAAAACGGATACACCCAATTAAAGGCCCCGCGCCGTCGCCCTGGGTTCTCGCCACCGCCCTGCTTCCCCAGTCCGAAGCGTTGCAGACCTCCAGGTTGCGAACCGGATTGGTAAGGGGGCGCCGGCGCTGGCCTGGATACCTCCGGCCTCCACTTCCTTCTCAGACGCACAGCGACCACGGTCTTTTCACTTCGTTTTTATTGATCAATCGCATCAAAGGAAGATTGATAGAGCTGGAATGGGAAGGGACTTTTCCCCTAGTCCTCGGCTCGCAGGGGCCCGGGGCTTTGCACTCAGTTTCTGGCCTTCGGTGCGGTTCTGAGCTCTCCCCGACCTCCCAGCCCCGCAGGTTCCGGGCTTCACTTCAGTCGGTAACCGCGCCCTCAGGTCCGCCCAGGCCGGCGCCGTGGCTCCAGGGGCGGGGGGGAGGGACAAGGCAGTACGGCCCCGCTCGGCTTCGTTCTTCAGCCTGCAAATATTTGCTGCCTCTAGGAGAATCCTACTATTCCGCTTGCGCTCGGCTTGCAAAGTCCTTAAGTAAACACGCTCAAATGACCGCCCGAGGCATTTCGAGGCACGCTCTTTATCCCTGCCCAGGATTAGTAACTTTAGTACTACGACCCCCAAGGTTCGGCTTTGCGGGTCCCTCTCTGGAGGGCAGCGCTCAACCCCCAAGGTAGCATCTTTCCGCATCTCGGCCCCGCGGAGCTCGCCTGGCCTCTCTCGGAGTCAGGCTCGGGTGGGTGATGAAGTTGCGTGGATTTCTACCTTTTGGGTCTGTGGCCCAGTCACCTTCTGCCTCTTTGCAATCAAGGCTTCCAAATTCTGAAGGGGACAGACTGTGCCTACTTGCAAAGGGATGGGGTCTCAACGCCCCAGTGAAGGCAAGTGGGAGGGACCTGAAGATGGGCAAGTGTGTGTGTGTGTGTGTGTATGTGTGTGTGTGTGTGTGTATGCGCGCGCGCTCGCGTATGTGTGGTGGGGGTGTCCCAGCTTACTCCAAGCATAGAGAAAGTCAGATCCATTTCTAACCCTTTCCCCAAGAGGGCACACATACCCTGCTCAACTTGACGCCTACAGCAGCAGCCCCAAGGCCTGGGGTTTTCAGATAGGCCAAACTGGTTCCGGTCACCCAACACAGCACCGCTCCTTGGAGGGGTCTAGCTGAGCCTTCGCTTGCTCCTCTCCAGGATGCTGGGTCCCCAGGCATCCAGATCGTTGGTCAGCCCCTCACCCTATTGAGGGAGGCCTCAGGAACTACAGGAGCCAAAGTCTCTAGGCAGCAGCCGTAGCAACAGGCTCCTTGATGGCTTTCTCTTGCCTTTCCCCCAGCTTTGCCAGATGCTCCTGGGGAAGAGGGGGCATGAGCAACACCGAACCCAGGCCCAGGTGCCTGGGGTGGTATCCCAGATCTTCAGGAGGGCGCTGAGGCGTCCCCTAACGAGGCCTGGTTCAGCTTTGTAGGCTCTGGCATAAAGGATTCCGACCACCCTTTCCCTTCTTCCCTCCGGCCTCAAGCCCCCTCCCCTCCCCCGCCACCCGCCAGGGGAGGAGGAAGCCCGGCTTGCATTTGTGAGCGAGGCGGGTCAGACCGGCGCCTGGCCTGGCCCAGACCCCCGGAGTCCGGCTCTCCGCCTCAGGCCACGCGCCGCAGCCTCTCTGGGCTCGATCCCTTCCCCCTTCTTCCCGGTGGGTCCCGGAGCCGACCTCCGCCCTCCCTCCCCGGTAACCCTCTCCTCTCTTTTCCCCTCCCCCTCCCCTGCTCTGTGTTTCTGACTCTGGGGCTGGGCCCGTGACGTCAAACCCAGTGTGGCGTCGGCGAGACTGGCCGGCGCGGGCCATCAAAAGAGCAACGTCCTCTTTCCCAATTACCCACTGTCAGTCCTGGAACAGGGGCGGACCGGCTGGGAATTACATGTTAAATACCCCCTACAGGCTGGCTCCATTACCCCGGGCATCCAGCCTCAGGCCCCCTACCCCTCTCTGCCAGCCCTAAACTACCTCAGACCAGGAGGGGCCTTCTAGATGTTTTCTTTTTCCAAGGGAGGGGAGTGTCCGCTGCATCCCAGCGTAGCTCCTCTGGTGATTGAATTAAAACGAATAATCCGCTCCATTCCCACTACCAAATTTATTAGAGAGGAGCCCCTACTAGGGAAGCGTTCCTTTTCAGAAACATTTTCTTTTGCAGTCTTTTAAACTAAGTTCTAAGCCGCATAAATTAACACGTTCAAGTCTTGGCGTCAGCTTTGATTCTTGTCTCGAGAAGGATTTCTTTTGCCTTTTTTTTTTTTTTTTTGATTTATAGATCTCGGTGCCCAGGACCAAAGAGTTTAATGCTTGCTTGTTTTTTTTGTTTGTTTGTTTTTTGTTTTTTCCTCGAAACTATGAACTAGGGTCAAGCTGACTGGTATCCTACACAACTCACCAGCGACACAGGAACACTGCTTTTTTTTTTTTTAAACTCCCATCCTTAATCTTAATCCCGGCCTCTTAGCAAAAATGTGTGTGCGGTCCTCTCTGCTTGTTTATGGAGTGGTTTCCGGTGAATGTTAGACAGCAACTAAATAATTAAAAGGTTTTGAGAGCGCCGTGAGCTGGATGAGATGCTGGCAGCTTGATTGGCCCAGGAGAGATGAGTTGGTCGAAGAGCGAAAGTAAAAATCGATATTCTAAGACTGGGTCGCCTCATAAACGCGAGATCAAGGGGTGCAGGATAAACTTGGGAGGGAAACTTATATTTTAAAAAAAGGAGGTATCTTCATGTTTTGTATTTAGAAATTCAGCCTTGATTTCGAACAAAGATCAATGTAAAAGATGAGGAGTCGAGAGAAGCTCCAAACCCAAGCCCTCAGGGCACATTTCCAAATAAATTTTACTTGTCTTCTTCAAGGGTTGTGCTTTAAAAAGAACACACTCTCCCCGCTCCCCCCCACCCCCACGGGCTTCAAGATAGACATTGATGCTTTTTCTCCACAGCAGGACAGGAGTCATTTAGAACTTTTTAGGAAGGGTTTGTCGGGAATCGAGGTTTTGTATTGGTGGGAAATTTTAAGGGGTAAAGGAATGAAGAGGCAACGACACCTTTCAATTCCAGTAACCCTCCACGCGAAGCTCTCTGCCCTGGAGGTTGGACTGGAATCACCTTCTTGTACACTGCCACGGGGTGCACCCGAAGTCTTTTTCCCGCCGGACCTTGCTCTTCCCGGCTGTGTTTTCAGGACCCAGGCTGCAGAAACCTCAACGCCACTAGGGGATGCAGTGACTCAAAAGACCGAACAGGGCCGCAGAGGTTGCAGCCCGTGGGGCGGGGCGACTGCGGCCCGGTCGTGGTCTCGCCCAATGATTGGCTCTTACAATGGCCCCGCCCTCGCCTATCCCCGCCCCCTCCACAGGGCGTCTCGCGGCTGCTCTCCCAGAGTCCGCGGGCTACCCACCCAACAGACCCCGGCCCTGAGACCTGCAGAATCCCCGGAGGTTGTCGCTGGGTCCCACCTCGGAGGTCAGGGTTAGGGTCTGTGGAGGGGACCGTTTTTGTCGGGCGGAAGGCAGAGTAAGTAGGGCCCCGAGCTGGGCAAAGGGAAAAGTTAGGCCACCCGAGTAAAAACCAAGTCAGTTCTACACCGCACTTCGGGGACCAGGGAGCCTGGGTCTTGTCTACCCGGCTTTCCATCCATCACGTTGTCACTCAAGTCAAAAGCACACATCGATTATATCATTAGATCTGAAAAAGACAGCTGCAACAGCTGACGCTGTTCACACTGGAGAGGTTTGTGAAAGTAAGCCGAGACCATAACAAAAATAATGCGGGTGTCCGAGTCAAAGCCCAGGTCCTTTGCGCGATCCATCAGCCTCCGGGGAAACTGGTTCAGGAAGCAAATCTTCAGTTACTTTGCCATGAAACTTTTCTGGTCAGTTTTACATGCACATAGTCCCCAAGTTGATATAAACTGAAAAATAATACTGCGGCTTGAATCCTAGTTTCAAAGTTTGCTCATTTTAAAGAAGTTGGAAAAGAAAAGTCTGCTTATGGAAATTAGCTTTATGAATGGGTCGGCCGGGTTTCACTGGTACGGAATAATCTACTGAGCCCGAATGAATCGGCTCTGCTACACTTAAAGGGCCAGAGCGCGAATTCCCTCCTGCCTGTCCCCTCCGCCCCAAGCCCGGGCCGGCCTCGCCCACCCTGCCCGCGGCCCCTCTGCCCTAGGCGGCCCTCGGCGGCGCCCCTTTCCGGTCAGTGGAGGGGCGGGAGGAGGGGCGGCGGTGTGCGGGGCGGGGGGGGGGGGGGATGGGGTGGGGGTGGGGGTGAAGTCCTGGAGCGGGTTTGGGTTGCAGTTTCCTTGTGCTAGGGATCGTGTCCCCTCCTGCCAGCGCCAGGCTCCTCCCCCTCGGCGCGGATGACACTAGAACCTCCTTAAGTTGCGTCGCGCCACAGCTGTCTGCGAACACTGAGCTGCCTGGCGCCGTCTTGATACTTTCAGAAAGAATGCATTCCCTGTAAAAAAAAAAAAATACTGAGAGAGGGAGAGGAAAAGAGAGAGAGAAAGAAAGAGAGAGAGACTGAGAGAGCGAGACATAGAGCTACGCAATCTGACCGGGCAGGTCACACGCCTCCTCCTCTCTGCTCCTTGTTACTCAGGTTGGTATTGTGACTTTTTTTTTAGATCTCCCTCCCTCCACTTAGGGGGGACCTTTTTTTTTTTCTTTTTCTTTTTGGTAAACTTAAAGCTCTTTTGGAGGGTTTGTAGTGGTTGGAAAGATCCCGGGGCCGGTGTCCTCCAGGGAGGACTTGTCCCCAAGTTTTAATTGCTTAGTCAGTCCCGGGCTCCGGCGAGATGTGCTGGGGAGCTTGGCTTCCTCTCCTGCCGGGTCTTCGCGTGCGTGTGCACGTTCCCGGTGAGTCGGCCCTGAGGGAAGCTCCAGGAGACTTAATGCCCTCCAGAATTTCAGGTGTTTAAGTACTTACAGCTCATCCAGGTCTCCTCTTCTCTGCTTTGCAGGTGACCGGAGAAGCAACCGTCTCTGAGCGCCAAGGAACCAGTGTGCCTTGTGGCCACACTTGGATTTCAGCGTCCTTTCTTTATCATTTTTTTTTTTTTTGCATTTGGCCTCTTTAATCCGCCGCTTCTACTTTTTTTTTTGAGGGGGGGTCTCCCTTTTCCTTCCTCCCTTCCTTTTTCTTTCTTTCTTTTTCTCTCTCTTTTTTTTTAAATTTTGCCAAACTATCCCACAAAGCTTTTTCTTTCCTCCTAAACCCACTTTTTTGCTCACCTTTCCTACCCACTTTACTACAAACAAACCACTAAACGACCCCTCTCCGGGCCTCCGACGGCAGGAGTCCGCGGACCTCCCAGGCCGACAGCCCTCCCTCTATCCGCGAGGGTTCCGGGCCCGGCGAGAGGGCGCGCGCACAGCCGAGGACATGGAGGTGACTGCAGACCAGCCGCGCTGGGTGAGCCACCACCACCCTGCGGTCCTCAACGGGCAGCACCCGGACACGCACCACCCGGGCCTCGGCCACTCGTACATGGACCCGGCTCAGTACCCCCTGACGGAAGAGGTGGACGTACTTTTTAACATCGATGGTCAAGGCAACCACGTCCCGTCCTACTACGGAAACTCGGTCAGGGCTACCGTGCAGAGGTACCCTCCGACCCACCACGGTGAGTCCACCTGGGTGCAGGAACCCTTTCGATCCGCTCCTGTTTTCCTGGGTCTGGGAGAGCGCCAGAGACTCAGGCTGGGCAGAGCAAGCGAAAGCCCCTAAGTGTGTCACTAGTTCATTTAAAAAAAAAAAAAATTGGGGCCCGGAAATGGGCGAGGAAGCAGTCTCGCTCGCAGGGAGAATGTTTTTTAAAAAGAGTGCAGCAGGCGCCTCTCTTTGCGGGCGTCGTTTGGGCCAGGCGCTCACCTGGCCGGCGCCTAGATAAAGCCCTGGTCCACGCATTGTAGATTTTGCAGCCGGGGACATCTCAAGCTGTGCCTGCACGCGCCGGGCAGCAGAGCGGGCCAGGCGGTCCTGGAACTGGGCTCCCCTGAAGGGCTTCCAGCTTCTAGCGATCTGGTAGAAGGGGGGTCTTTCGACAGAGCCTTGTAATTTGTTTCTCCTTTTGTATTTTCAGAAAGGCCCAAACACATGTATTTATTTCTACTCTCTTTGGCTTTCCACCAAAGATAGTGTATTTTGAGTTTTAGGCAGGTTTCTTACCTACTGGTGGCTTGAGGACGAGAATCTGGTGGTTGACACGGTATAAAGGGGGGAAGTCTTAAATTGAAGAGAAAGCAGGTTTGCTTAGACTCCCGGCTACACAGAATTTTCCTACGTCTTTGCTTTTTAGGTTGCTTAATTGCCAGCAACCCTGGCCTTATTTTCTCCTTTGGCCTACGGTAGTTCCCATAGGCTCCCTCAAAGATTTATGATACACCAAAATGTCTTTTAAAGCAGGAGTTTCCAGTTGCCTCCCCCAAACCATTTATCTTGAGAAGTTTAGGGGAGTTCTGAGGTGTTTAAAAAAGAAAAATAAAGGAAGAAACCAGCCTTGTGTGGTTGGGACAGGGGACCCTTAACACTTCCCAGCTGTAAGTTTGTGCTCAAAGGAGCAAAAAATGGAAGGGAAGAAAATGGGAGGCTTTCTCAGTCAGCTAGGTCTGCTCAGGTCTCCCGACTCATAGTCCCTCTGGCAGCAGGCATCCTCTGCCTCACAGCCTCCAGGTTTTAAACAGTCATTTCTGCGGATGGGGCGCTCTTTGCTCGGGTTGTGTGCAGATTAGCAGTTAAGTGGAAATGAGGTAGATCAGACCTAATGTTATTTACTATACTACTTCCTGCAAAAAAAGAGCCTTAACCCTTGGCGTTCAAGAGAATGCTCCATCTCTCTTGACTCCCCTCCCCTTCCTCTCGCTTAAGATTTTAGTTTCAGTATTGTTCTTAATGGTTGACGAGAATGTCAAATGGTGAGGCACACTGGATTGAAAGATCACGAAGAGCGTAGATTTGCGCTTGCAGTTTAAAGGTTCCCCTATCAGAGAGTACGGACTTCGATAACTCATGAACACCTTAAAATCGTGTATTTTAAATGAAGGTTAAACTTCTCTGTGTATGAGTCTCCCCTGGTTTCAAATAAACATATCAACTGGAATTTTGTGTCTCAGGTGAAAATTCATATACTGCCCTGGTAAATAGGAAAGTCTCGAGGGCCGAAGGGGCTTGTTTTATTCTTTTTTTCCTATAAGATTTGGAAGGGTGAAGAAAGAACAGAGGGGGGAAATCCTTCAAGGTTTTGGACAATGAAAGTTTCCTTGCAAATGTCTATTTCAGGCCTTTTGGAAGCAGCTTTGCCAGTTCTAAGCAAGCATTGAACTTTTCTGAAATTAACTCTCAAATGCATCCTGCCTTCCTTGCATTGGATGTTGGGAGCTGGGCCTCTCCTAGGGTTCAGGAGTGGTGTGGCCCCACTTCATCCTTCAGGCTGACTCCCTTATCAGCCTGGTTGGGATTAAGTCTGCGGTGGGAGAATCAGGGCCATTGAAAGAAACCAATAAATCAAGGCAGGTTCTAGAGAGAGACACCAGGAAATCTGATGTAGACTATGTATTTGGACAGGACAAATAAGCCACGAAACCCTTCTCCACGTCCTTGCAACTCCTCTGGAGTATTAGGAGCAGGCCTTTCGTTTTAGATTTGCTGGGTGTGGACAGGGTCTGCTTCCACCTCGAGGCGTGTGGGCCCGGTCCTCATGGACCCACGGTGATTAGAGGAGGTTTGAATTCTCTTGCTCAGTTGGGCCTGGAGGTTTGCTGACTGGGAGGTTGGGGGCGCCAGGGGTAGACTCTCCAGGTGTGTCCGAGGTTAGCTCTCAATGCGGTCTTCTTTTCTCTCCTTCTCTTCCTCTGCCATCGCTGGCGTCGCAGGGAGCCAAGTATGCCGCCCACCTCTGCTGCACGGATCCCTGCCCTGGCTTGATGGTGGAAAAGCCCTGAGCAGCCACCACACGGCCTCGCCCTGGAACCTCAGCCCTTTCTCCAAGACGTCCATCCACCACGGCTCCCCGGGGCCGCTGTCCGTCTACCCTCCGGCTTCCTCCTCTTCTCTGGCCGCAGGCCACTCCAGTCCGCATCTCTTCACCTTCCCACCCACCCCTCCGAAGGACGTCTCCCCAGACCCGTCGCTGTCCACCCCGGGATCAGCGGGCTCCGCCAGGCAAGATGAGAAAGAGTGCCTCAAATATCAGGTGCCGCTGCCGGATAGCATGAAGCTGGAGACTTCCCACTCCCGAGGCAGCATGACCACCCTGGGAGGGGCCTCATCCTCAGCCCACCACCCCATCACCACCTATCCGCCCTATGTGCCCGAGTACAGCTCCGGACTCTTCCCACCCAGCAGCCTGCTGGGAGGATCCCCTACTGGGTTCGGGTGTAAATCGAGGCCCAAGGCACGATCCAGCACAGGTAAGCCACCTCCACCCTTGGGAATCTCTCTTTCGCTCCCTCTTACTTCCTCTACACCCAGGTCAAGGCGAAAAAGGGTCTTCCTTCTCTCAAAAAAAAGGAGGGGGGAGAGTATTTGGGAGGCCTACAGGTATCACCCAGCCAAGCGGAGATCTACTTACTGTCTTCCATTCTTCCAGCCTGGGAAGAATGTGGTGTGTCTCAACTCCTACTGACTTAGGCTGCAGAGGGGAAGTGTGAGCTGCTTGTAAGCCCCCCCCCCCATCCCAGTGAGCTGGGAAAGGAAAAAGACTAACACAAACAAATGGATGCCCTTTCCTCTTGTCTGCTGAGGGACTTCTGGATTCTACCGCTAACCTTTAGTTTCCAAGACCAAATGGAAGGCCCCAGGAATAAATCTGTGGTGTTTAAAGCTAAAACGAAACCTCCTCCAACCTAAACAAACACAGGTCCCTCCTATGACCCCTTTGGCCTCTGTCAGTCGGACTGTTCCTCTTCCCTCTCCTAAGAGAGGGTCACTGGGGCTATAGCCAAGGACTGTCCTTTATAGAGGCACATATAAATAAAGCGTGTGTCTGTGTCATTTGGGAAGGAGGCAGACACTTTGTAAAATCAGCAGGCTTTGCAGGGAAAAGGGACTCTCAGCTGAACTTCTGAGGGCAGGAGGTGCCTCCCCAGTGGGATGCAGAACTAAAGGAACATCAAGGGCTCCTTGCCTAGTCAGTTACCTCCAGTGTCTTTTGGAGCATTCAGTGTGAACAGGAGCCGGAGGCCCCACTTAGGACCTCCAATTCCTGGAGTCAGTTGGAAGCCAGGTGTGGTAGGTAGAAAGGATTCTGCAGGTGTATGCTTCTGCTGCCTCTGTCTTCCCTCTCCCTCAAAAGCAAACGGTGTTTGCCAGCACACCGAGAGATGTATTCTAGCGAGGTCACTGCAGGAAAAGCATACACAGGCAGAATTTTTCTTTGCTTTAGAAATAAGACAAATTCATTCTCAGTTTGCGGCTACGAGAAGCAGTCAAAAGAGGTCGTGAGCAGACTGAAGTGTGTTTTTAGAAGGGATTTTGTGAAGACTCCTAAGGTGTCCTCGTTTCAGAGTGGGCCACTCCAACTACACAGATTGCATTAAAAAAGAAATGGTTAAAAAAACAACCAGTTGTCTGTGAAGGGCTGGATGAGCAGTCTTCAGACCATGCTTAGGTTTGGAAGACTTCAGGCAGGAGGATGCTGCAAGTGACCAGGAGATCAGTTTTCAGGGTTTTCCTCTCTCTTTCTTCCTTTCTTTTTCTTTTTTCTTTTTTTTCCCAGGGTGACATTCACTCTGACTGCCTGAGCAGGACTGTCTCTATTTAGTTGATATGTTTTAGCTAATCCAATTATTTTCAGACGGCTGCACGCGACAGTTGCATTGTTTATCCTGGGCCAGGAACTTTAATAGAGTCCGGATGCGGTTAGGCTGACAGAAAAACTCAGACCTGCATGTTCAGTACATGAAAGTAGGCAGGAGGGAGAAGAAGGAGGTAGGCTCGTTAGCAGAGTCAAAAAGAAAGCTAGAGCAAGAGAGAGCTGCGGGAGGAATGTGGTCTGCTAAGGTGCCAGGGCAAGCACTGGGCTTGTGGGGGGTGAAGGCGCTGGACTAGAGAGAGGTAGAAGTACTGGCTGTCTCCTACCGTGCTGCTGGAGGGCTGAAATCAAGGAACTGTGTGTTTTGAGGTTGCACTGGGGTTTAAAAACAAAGCAAAACAAAAATTGTCTGTACTGGCGGGGCTCTGAGGTCAGGGAAGTGCCTGGGCTCTGAGGCCGGTGTGGTGGCTGCGAGGGGGAGGGGGGGGCTCTGACTTTCCAGAAGACTCATTCTGTGCCCTCATTTCCACATTTCTTCTCCATCTCCTTAGGTTTGCACACTTTCTGTTCCTGGTTTGATCTGTTTCTTTCTCTCATTTTTTCCCTTAAGCTTGTATGTGAGGGGCGGGTGGGGAGAAGCAGGAGAGTACCAGGTTTCCCCTAAACCAGAGCCAGAAATACCTATGTATGCATTGTATTTATTTATTTATTTATTTTGGTGAAGGGGTGAAATTAGGCTTTTTGCTTCCTCCTTCTTCCTCCTTTCTCACAGTCATAAAAACCAAGAGTGGCATACCTGGCCCGCAAAGGACCTGGGACTTTTGGAGTGTAGAGGGAAGTTTCCAGAAGCTGTCAGTATGCAGAAGGTTGGCTAGTGGGAATTCTCGTACAGGATATTCTCTTAGGTTTATTTCCCTTTCCTCCTCTCCTCCTTTCCTCCTGTCCTCCCTCTTTTCCTCCTTCCTTTCTCTTTCCTCTTTGCGGATGCATTTATTGGACAAGACAGAAAAGAAACGCAGATCAGGGTTATGGCTGTGCTTTGGAGAGACGTTTGAGGCTGTGGTGAGGGCCTGCACTGCTTTCTTGATATCTTTGCTTTCGTTCTGGGATCTGTCTTTGAACAAAAGACAAAGCTGTTGCTGTTGCTTTTATTTTTCCCCAAAGGGCCATTTTTCTCAGTTTCCCTGATCACTTTTTGGATGTGGGTACCTCCCTCCACTCTCCTGAGAAAAATAGCTTACCCTGCCTTCTGCTCCTGCACAGCCCAGTTTCAGGGCTTCAGTCCGAAGCCCGAGGGGCATTTGCAAATGGCTGTTGAATGTCAAGAGGCCTCACAGCTCTGTGGTTCTTGTCACCTAAGAGAGGTGTCTGCTTGGCAGCTCACAGCACACAGGGGAGAGGCATGAGGAAGACAGAAAGCAGGAGAGTCAGGCCCTCCATTAGGAAAATTGGCTGTGTGCTGAAGTCATAGTAGAGGCAGGGAGAGATGAGAAGAGAGAAGCCCACGCAAGGCAGTCGAAAACTTGTGGAGTGAATCAAGACAGAAAATTACTCTAGTGAGCAGGGCTCTGCCTGAGAGCAACCGTCCTCGCTCTCTGCTTTCAAGGGCCCTCTGAAAAGGAAGCTGTCTTCCTCCCTCCTACCTGACAAAGGAAAGGAAATCAGCCTGGCCACAGGCTGGGAGATCCCCTCAGCGTCAGGGTGCCTAGGCATTCACCCTGCTCAGGGCAGCGGCTTGCTACCCTTCTGCTGTGCCTGGTGCAGGGAACATGTAAGCAGCAAGCTTACTCAGGGAAGGGGACTTAAGTGACTCCAGGGCAGACAGGATAAAAAGTGGGCCTTGGCTGGGTGGTGGCCCATACTGTCTCCCAGCATTCAGGCTGTGGGTGCAGTAGACACTTGGGAAGCCAAAACAGCCAAGGCTCCTGGCCGTGCCTCTACAGCTGGTATCCCCTTGCCTGCCCACTCATCCCTTCAGCTTCCCCACATCCGGTAGCCATATCCCATCAGAGCTGGACCCCACATGAAAATTGTCTGAGGATGATATACTCTAGAACCTTTGAGGAGAATCAAAAAAAGTTAACCAAGTTCCTATAAAAGTACCTTTGGCTATATGTGTAAGCAAATTTTATATCTAGTCCCAGGGACTCTAAGACAACAGGGAGAGTTCTCTGCAGACCCCATCCTAAGAGCCTTTTTTTGTAATTTGGATGGGAAAAAAATTCTCTGCTCAAATATTGTTTGAAAAAGCAAGTTTACACATAGCTCCTGGAGTTACGGGGAAGGTGAAAATGACGTTTCTCGTGGTTTTTCTGGCCACTGTTCGAAAGGGTTGGAGTTAAATTATAGTGATGATAACTTGCAAGAATTTGTCCCTGGAGAAGGTGACAAGCCCATAGGTGTGAACACCCCTTGTTCCTTTGGTTTTGATCTGGGATTTTCCAAAAATCATTAGGTCTTCTATCTACCAAGGTAGACTTTGTTCCTTTTCTGGGAAGCCAGAATTCCCAGTCACTCTTCTAGAGTTTCTTCCTTTACTTCGTGTGTCATTGATTAATCTCTCAAGACAAAGGGATTCCCTTTTTAACTGCTGAGGATCAAACCCAGTGCCTTGTACATGCTAGGTAAATCCTGCCCCCTCAAAGAAATCTTTCGGGCTGTTCTTGACTCGCCCATTCACCCTGAGTGTCTCCCTCTCATTACCTTGACCCACCTCTGTGGTGGGTCCAGCTGAGCTGCCTGCTCTTGTAGGGGACTGGGCTCTCCACTTCTTCCTGGGCTGGAGGAACTAAGAATGCTAGTGTATTTCTTCAGCTACCCGGAGTGGAAGAGGTTCTTCTGGAAAGGATCTTCCCCACTTTGAGAAGTTGCAAAGTCTCTCTGTCTGCTTTCTGGGGATCCATTTCTACTGAGGAACTTTCTGGGAGTAAGTCCCTGTCCTGATTCAGCCCTGGTTTTGGGAACGAACAAACCTGGCTGGGCTGGTTTTCTGTTTGTTTATTTGTGGTTTTGGAAAAAGAGAAGCTGCTGGTGGGTGGGTCGGGCCTCAGTTAATGCGTGGACCAGCATCCCCCACCTCCTTAACTAACTCTTCTCCTAATCTTTATCTGACCTTCATTCTGTCCTTTCTGCCCTTTCTTCTCCTGGCTTTCCCCATCTTGCAGATCTCCTGCCTAAAGGCTTGTACTGTGCTTCCTTCCTTCAGCCCTTGGCTGGCCAGGCTGGGGCCAGAGTCTAACTTCAATTAATTCTTCTAGTAGCGGCTGGAAACCTACAGGAAATGTGGTGTTTTCTGAAGGGGAGGCTGTGAGAACAGGAGGATGAGTCAGTCCTGCTGGGCCTTAATTGATGACTTTGCAACTAGGGGCACTTGCAGTTTTATTGGAAGTAAAAGATGTGAAGTTCTAGCTACTCAATCAATCAGACAATTGATCAATCTATACATCCATCTATTATCTGTGTATCTATCTAGCCATCGATTAATCTCTCCTTTCTCCCCATCCTAATCTTCATTATTGAGTCAGTCTGTATAGACAGCTCTGTGACCAACTGGGTCACCATTCCTTGCTTCGTCTGAGGAAGCTGAAAAAGTCCTTTGCTTTGGCCACTGACTGTCCTGCACTCAGCATGCTCTCAGAGAAACGCTTTAAGATTCAGTCTCTTGCCTTTCGGCTCTGTCCTCCTCACTGGGTGGGACGTGTTGAAGTCAAGATTCTGCTGCTCTTTACTCACCTGAAGTCTGTTGGTAACAGGAAGAGTTATGTCGGACACAATAGTCATAACTTTGGAGCACTTTGGAGATGGCGTGAACTGCTCCCCCACCCAAATGAGTTTGGAAGTGTTTTTATTTTCCCTTCAAATTTTGGGGTGTGTGTGTGTGTGTGTGTGTGTGTGTGTGTGTGTGTGTGTGTGTGTGAAGGATGGAAAACAACTTCTGGGGGATCTCAGGGATGGTATGCAGGCCTCAGAAGACTTGGCGGCCAGTGCCTTTACTCACTGAGGGATCTCACAGACCCTCCCTCATAATTCTAAATGTCATCTCCTTTTGGTATGCTTTCCTTCCATAAGTGACTTATCTGTGATCTTGTTTCCAGAAGGCAGGGAGTGTGTGAACTGTGGGGCCACCTCCACCCCACTGTGGCGGCGAGATGGTACTGGGCACTACCTCTGCAACGCCTGCGGACTGTACCATAAGATGAATGGACAGAACCGGCCCCTTATCAAGCCCAAGCGGAGGCTGGTAAGTTCTTGGAAGGCCTGAACTCATGGAACTGTTTTGTGTTTTCCATGTTGTCTCTGGGATGGATGGCTTTCTGAAGGAAATTGTCGGGACGGTTGAGAACCACGTCAGCTTGCTTAGGACAGCTTTCTCTCCCTTCTTCTTCCCTTTCTTTTTACCTTTTCTCGACACCTCACCCCACTCCCCCTTTCCCCTTTCCTCTTCTTTTTTTCAAATTAGATGCAGAAAAACTGTATTTTTGTCTTTCATGTTTAAGTCACTTCTTAAATTTTAAGGATACTAACTTATTGGTTATCACAACTGAAACTTATTTCCCAACGGAATAACTAAGCTTAACAATGTCAGGGCAACAGCGTCAGTAGTTGCTGCGTGCATCACAGAGAGAAGTTTAACGAGGGAAGGAAATATCCCAGGAACCATTTAGAACATACCCTGGAAGTAGTGGAAGGCTCTGAGGAAGCAGTTACAGATCCAGGGCTGGGGATGACCTTCTGGTGTCAACGCTTTAAGACTCATAGGACTTGGTGCAGTAATGCACTCCTGTAATGCCGGAATTTAGGAAGTGGAGCCACAAGATCAGGAGTTCAAGGCCAGTCTCGGCCACATGTAGAATTTGAAGGTGGCCTGGGCCATGGGATTGATGCTGAATTAGCCGAATTTCAGACTCAGCCCTTGGTATTTTTCTGCTTCTGGGTCTGAGACAGTGAGGACTTTTGCAGGTGATTCCTGGGGAAGGTTTGTGATTCCTGTCTTGACTTCTGGTCTCCTAGCCTCTGATTTGTTTGTTTGTTTGTTTATTCATTCATTCATTCATTTATTTATAACAACTCTCCATAGGGCGATAGTTTCCGGCTCCCACCACATACACTTTCTTTTATTTCTGGAGCTTTTCGGTTATTAGGAATACTTGAGAAAACCTTGAAGCATTGTGCATTTATAAAGAAAGTGAACAGGAGGCGTTTGTTTGTAAACTTGACTCTGAAACCTTGGGCCGGATTGAACAATGATTATATATAAGACAGTAAGAGTAGTTGGCCCGCAGAGGCGACATCAAAATGCTGGAGTGGAGGGGAAGAATTTCTCCGTGCAGATCCTAAGGGGGAAAAACAGAGCAAAACCCGAGCAGACACTCCCCCACTCCCCCCTCTTGAAAGCAATATTAGTCTTCCCTGCCTGACAGCAGTGCAGTTAACACCTTTTGCCTCCTCCTTAGAAAAAGGAAAACTGCCGGGCGGTGGTGGCGCACGCCTTTAATCCCAGCACTTGGGAGGCAGAGCCAGGTGGATCTCTGTGAGTTCGAGGCCAGCCTGGGCTACCAAGTGAGTCCCAGGAAAGGCGCAAAGCTACACAGAGAAACCCTGTCTCAAAAAACCAAAAAAAAAAAAAAAAAAAAAAAAAAAGAAAAAAAGAAAAAGGAAAACTTTCTAGGGTGGAAGTGCCCACACATGACTTCATATTTTTTTTTTTTTTTTTTTTTTTTTTGCCAATCTTAGATCTCTAGGCTTCATTCTATCTGATCTTTGCCCTTTTCTCCAACTGTCTCACCCCCCCGCCTCCTCCCCCCACTTCTCATGCAGTTTAAGGGTTTTTTTTTTCTCCCCCCTTCTCTTATGTGCAACTTCCTAGGAAAAAGCTGCCGGATATCTGAGGGCTAGAGATAACTCATAAACAGCAACTCAGCTTCTCCAACTTAAACATCAAGATGTTTAGACGGATCAGAACAAGAAGCACTAGAAAAAAAAAATGGCTGGAGGTGTTAGCTCAGAATGAGTGTGATCACACCGCAAAAGAATGCCGTGAATCATTCAGAACCCAGCCTTAGTGAAAAAAAAAAGCAAAAAAAAAAAAAAAACAAAAAACCAACAACAAAACTTCTTCTTGAAATATATCATGATACAGTTATAGTTTTTTAACTTTAAAGTAAAGACAAAAAATTATAAAGATCTGAAAAGTCTCATAGTTTTCTAATGAATGAAGGAGAATTTATCTGGCCTTGTCAGAGAGCAGAGGGGAAGACTACTATTTTATATAGGTTTGCCTCCCCTCGCCTTTCATAGGAAGTCTGTGGAACTCTGAGTAATAATTGATTTTAATTCTAGAGTTCATAGGCTGTCACAATTTAAGCTGTCTGTGTTAACCATCTCCCCCCACCAGGGGGGTGGCATTGATATTTTTCAATCCCATTATAATTCATATGCTACATGGAGACACGTAGAAGTTTCTCTCTCTTTCTCTTTTAATTTATTTGTGTGTGTGTGCTGCGTGCTGCTGTGCGTGTGTGGAAATCAGCAGATAACTTGCAGCAAGAGTCAGTACGCTCTCACCACGTGAGTTCCGGGGATCGAACTCAGATCATCAGAGTTGCTGGCAAGCCCCTTTACCCTCTGAGTCATCACACCAGCTTGTCTCCCAACCCCCTTTAGATGCTTTCTACTTCTAAAGACCTAGACCCTTTCCTTTTCTTTCCTTCCCTCCCCTTCGAGCCGGGGTGCAGCCGGCTAGGCTTATGTATGCCAAGGACACTGGGGCTGTGTTCTCTTCTGTCTCTTCATTTCGGCCCAGCCTTTACAGCTTGCTGGCTTTGTTTCCATGTATTTGCTGACCCACTGATGACCACTTACCCCATCGTGTATCTCCATGAGATACAAATCAAACACTGACATAGAAGAGAGGACCCATGGCCAGATCTATAGCTTTTCCTCCTTCTAGTATTCCAGAATTTTCTTATGTCTTACAATTAGAATGGGTTAGCTTGCCTTATCAAAGGGCTTATTGATGCCCGGGCCACTGAGCCCAGCAGTGTGGTTCTGGGCAACTCTGTAGGTTTACATAAACTCTGTCTTGCCAGAGACATATCCTGGCACACACATGTATTTATGATCTTTACAATCTACTGCAAAGGATTATTTATGTATGTACTGAATTCTTTCTTTAGTGCACTCATTGTATTAATTGGCTTTATATTTACATTATACATTCAAAATTACTGAACTGGGAAAGCTGGTTGCCTGAGTGGACACTGTTGGGCTTGATCTGAATGTTTCTCCTGAAATACCATAGAATGGTGACAATAATCACATGTAACATAATTGTCACAAATCATTAGGCGCTGGTTTTCAGTAGGACTTTCTTTCAGAGAGCACATGAGGGGAAATCGTTATTTAAGTATTAAATGATCACATTTCACAAAGGCAGATGGCCAAAAGCTCCAGAATCAGCACCAACACCTCGTGCTGCAGTGACTTATTTTCAGAATGGACAGCATGAAAGCAGCACCTCTCCACGGTGATAGACATGGGCTGTTTTTAATTTCACTTCCTTGCAATCCCTAAAAGTCTGAGCTCGGCTATTTGAAGCCCATGGGAGCAGATCTGCGGACAACCTAGGGCTTTAAAAGGAAGGAATCTGTCTGCTGAACTCCATCAAAATTACCATTGGGCTTCCGAACTCGGCTTTGACTGTTGCTACTTTGTTGCGCTTGATACAGAATCGATAGAGAATAAAGCTGGGGTTCTGTAGTTTTTAGTTTCAAGTTCTTCACATTATAGCAGTCTATTTTCCTCCCTTCTTCCTTCTTTCCTTCCCTTTCCTTCTTCCTCTCTCCTTCCCTTTCCCCCTGCTTCCTCCTTCTTTCCTGCTTTCCTTGTCTTTTTGGGGAAGCCCTAGGGGTCCAGAACGGGCCTTTTGCTATGTTAAATAGTCCTTCCACTGAGCTGAGTCTCCAGCTTTCACGCCAGAAGTTTCTTGATGTTACTGAATGCTTTTTATCTTCTGTTCTTTACTATTAATTTTGAACTCAGGATCCAGACTCTTTTTTGAGTTACCATTTTCTTTTCAAGGGGAGGAGGAGTATTTTAGAAAAGACAGCTCCATTTTCTTTTTATTTTGTGTGTGTGTGTGTGTGTGTGTGTGTGTGTGTGTGTGTGTGTAGATCAAAGTGCAACTTGTAGGAGTTGGTTCTTTCCTTCCACCACATGGGTTCTAGGGATCCAGTCAGCCTTGGTTGTGAGTGTCTTTATCGGCAAGCTATCTTGATGGCCCACAGTTCCATTTTCTTTCTATAGTTTTGACTTTAAATTTTCAAAAAAAAATGTGCATAAAAAAAGTTGCCTGATTAATTCAAATACGCAAAAAGTAAAAGAGATCTCTCCCTGTTAAAGAAAATGAAAGCAGAGCTAAGGACATTTAAATTTAATTTTTGAGACAGGTTTTCTCTTTGTAGCCCACACTGTCCTGGAACCTCTTGTGTAGCCCAGGCTGTCCTCAAGGTAGTGGCAATCTTGCAAGTTTTCAAGGGCAGGAATTACAGTTGTAAGTGAGCCACAAGCCTCCATCACCAAGAATTAAAATTCAAGATGCGGCTGATGCTTGGCCTGTGACTCCTAGGAAACCTTAACTTCACATAGGTGGGGGGAGACTCGAGCCAGGTGGGCAGGTGGTGTCCAGGATTCCTACGAAATATTCAAAGTACCTTTTTTTTTTGGATTGTCTCATTACATGATGGCTACCTACCTAAAGCTGTGGAGGGTAGCTGCCCTGGGAGTGGCAAGTAGCCAGCCAAGTCTGAAAGTGTCAGCTGTGTGGGATGGCTGCAGGGTCTTGTTGACTTAGGATGCTCTGTTCCTAAATCATGGCACCCTGAGTTTTTCGTATTTTGTAGCCTTTAAAATATCTACATTTATACATCTATATAGAAACTCAATTTTTAGTTTAGCATACAAAGGATCGGGTTTCAGCAGGCTGTCTTTGTACATCTGTGTTAGCATACCTTATTCTCAGCTGCTTCCTTTTCCCACTGTGTATCCCCAGCGAGCAGCAATCCTCCTGCCCCAGCTTCAGAGTTCTAGATTTCCGGACAACCGCCACTCTGTCCAGCTATTTCAACATTTCCTGATTTGGGGAGTCTAGCAAGGTTTTTTCCTAGCTCAGGTGTGCTTTCATTTTGCTGTTAGTGGGCCCCGACAGCCAGCAGCTGATGTAGAGATCAATATTCTTGGTAGTCTTTCTTGAAAAAGACCTCTGTGGGCTTGGGAATGATGAATGGAGAGGACTAAGAGCTTGGTACCAAAATTAGTCCGGCTAATGAAAATTGTCACCTTAAAAATGAACTCTGTGGTGTACTTCATGAGGATGGAGGGAGGAAGTAATGTTCCCAGGGGTTGGCATTGGCATCCTGCTTCTCTCTACTTCTGCACTCAGGTTGCCTACTGAGGCCCCTCAAACTCCTAAACACTGGATTGGCTGCATCTTTCTTTTCAAGGACGATCTGGGATCTTTACGACTTTTATGTGGCCCACTTGCTAGTTTTGATTTCAATATCTTTTTTTTTTCCCCTCCACACCTGTTTCTGTCGCTCCACCAACACATTTACTGTTTGTTCTGATTTTATTCTGCCCTCTCTCCCCACTCCCAGTCAGCAGCAAGGAGAGCAGGGACATCCTGTGCCAACTGTCAGACCACCACCACCACCCTCTGGAGGAGGAATGCTAATGGGGACCCTGTCTGCAATGCCTGTGGACTCTACTACAAGCTCCACAATGTAAGTGGGACTGGACCCAGCCGGGGCGGTGGGGATCCGGACCACACCGTGGAACCGGCACCAGTGTCCAGATTTGTGATGGGGTTCAGTCAGTCTTTTTGGAGTTAAGCAACTTGTTCAGAAATCAGCACAGTAGGACTGAGCTTTTTATTTATAATTCTTGGCTTTCTGAGACACCTGTTTTATATAGCCCAGGCTAGCTTTGAACTCTCGATGTAGAGGGGTCTGGCCTTTCACTCCTGGTCCTCCCATTGCAGCTTCTTCCAGAGAGCTAGGTTTATAGATGTGTGTTACCACATGTGGCTGGACATAGTTTTGAAAATACCTTTGCTGCGATGGAAGGGGCTAGAGACAGAGAAGGATCCCAGGTTTCGTAACACACCCATAATCTTGTCACTTAGAAGGCTGAGACAGGAGGACTACCATGAGCTGGAGGCCGCCATGGCCTAAGCAGCTAGTACTGGACCAACCTAGGCTACATAGCAAGATCCTGTCTCAAAAACAACAACAAAAAAGACGGAGAAGAATGTTGCCCACTACCCACTTAGTATGTTTTGGACAGTTTTTATGGGAGGTTGAAACCCAATACGTATCATGGACCTGTGTAGGTTTTAAGGGTGAAAAACATCTTCTTGGACAACAGAAAAACCATCTGTTCTAAGTTAAGCCAGGTCAGGTGGTGCATGCCTTTAATTCTGGTGCTTGGGGGGCAAACGCAGGTAGATTGTTGTGAGTTCCAGGCCAGCCTGGTCTACATAGTGAATTCTCGGACAGCCAGGGCTTCATAAGGATACCCGCGTTTCAAAAAACAAAACGAAACAGAAAGCCACCGGTTCTGTTTCCATGCTCCCTTGCACGGGGTGGGGCCAGGTAGCACCTCCCTTGCAGGAGAACGGGAATTAGATAAATATGTGGTGCTGCCGTCCGTTTCTGAGTCAAATAGGACAGTTTTGGTTACTGATGAGAAGAAGCCCGGCTGTCCCTGTGCTGCGAACTTCAGATGATCCTCCGCGGGACAAACACAAACTGAAATGTCCCGAAGAGTTCCCTGCTTGTCTTTGTCCCGACCAGCTTCCTGCCACATGTAAACAACTGAGGGGAGAAGTGAGGTTGGGGGAGAAGAACTGGTGACTTCTTCCTTCTGGACCTCATTAGCAGAGTGATAATTGCCAGTCAACAGAGATAGCTGGATCTACCCCGCCTTTTTTTTTTTTTTTTTTTTTTTTTTTTGAAACAGGGTCTCATATTGCCTAGGCTGGCCTTGAACTCACTACGTAGCAGAAGACAGCCTCAAATGTGTGGTTAATCCCAAGCAAAAAACAAACAAACAAAAAAAACCACAAAAACCCAAAAAACAAAAACCAACCGAAAAACCCAAACTGTCCCCTTTCTTCTATTCAGCTTTAAGTTACTTTCCTGGTGTCTTTTGCCTTTGGCAGAGTTTGGGAGGAATGAGGAAGAGGCAGACATTTTTGCTTGGGGCTGTTCTGGCAGTAACTCACTTTACCCAGGAATACATGGGAATCCAAAGGAAGCTTTTCTCCCTCTCCTTCCCTCCCCCTCCCACCCCACTCTGTGTCTGTTTCTCTCTTTGCTTCTGTCCCTCTGTCTGTCTTTGTCTCTTTCTCTGTGTGTCTGTCTCTCTCTGGGAGAAAGTTTCTGAGATTCCATAGGAGTCTAAACTCACACCTTTTGACACAGTCCCCTTCCGTGTTGCCCAGTATAAGGAAACCCAAGGCTTCCTAAGTGGGATCTGCTGTTCTCCCCCACTCCTGGGCCATAATACACACAGATTTATCAGCAATTAAACCTAGTCCTGCTTTCAAATATGGGGCAGAGGCTCTCAAAGATTTGTGATTAAGATGGTGAGGACTGGAACATTAGCACTTATTATTAGCTCTCCGGGCACCCCCCAGCCTATGCGGTTATTTTCTGAGCTACAATTTCCAGCTCTCTAAGAATGTCCATGCTACTTGATGACATGTGAGCCCCAGACAGCCCTATGATGTAGATAGGGCAAAGACTCTTTTTATTTTGGTTGTACTTGAAGGAGTTATGACTCAGAAAGGCACATCCCTAGGGTATGCAGGGTGATGTAACTAATGAAGTAAACGTCAAGACTGATTTCGGGGTGTCAGAGACCTTCCTCGGAAGTCGGGGTATCAGGCACACAGGAGAGTTGGAAAGTTAACAATCTGACCTTTCGGGGCAACAAGATCTCCGTGGGCTGTCACGAGTGCATTTCTTTACCACCTTCATGGAGTTATAGAATTATGGGAAACTAGCCTCTTCTAATTTTAAAATAGTATTGATGAGCTACATACGATGAAGCTGGTTTTTCACATAAATATATGTGTGCATATTTTTCGAACAATGCTTTCTTCCCCGGTGGTCCTAGGGATGGACCCAGAGCGTTAGGCACGTGAGGCGAGTGCTGTAGTGCTGAGTCATACTCTCAACCTATTGACCTTTTCTCTATTGCTCACTCCTCATTCCTTCCTGGACCCAGCAATCCCCCTGCTTCAGCCCCCAAGTGCTGCAGTTACAAGCTTAAGGTGAGGGGGGAGAATTTCCTCGTTCTCATGTGTGCTTTCTTTTTTTCTTCTTCTGCCTTTTGGCTTAGTACGGGGTTCATCAAAGGAGGTAACTTAGGTGTGTTTAACAATAAGATACTAATCTGTGACCATTTTCTTGGCATGTAATTTCTCCTGCCCATGCTGTGTCTGCACATGTATGCCACAGGCTCGTCTCTTCTTATCTAGGAGTTGAGATGAGTGCCTATCTCTGCATCAACGTATCTAGGTGTGTTGGGACTAGCTATCTATGGTCATGTCGCTCTTGGTGTAACTAGATATTATATTTAGATATCTGGCTGTGTGCATCTAGCGCTGGGTGTACACAGTGGTGTATCTAGACATTATCTTAGGGAAGGTCTGATGTGGGAGTGGATACCTGTCATCTCTGTGGGCGGCATCTTTATCTTCCTGACAACCTGAAGGAGCCCTGAGACATTTTTCTGGCACCGACTTTGGCTCCTTTGCTTCTCCTCACCCCATCTTCCTGTCATAGGGGTAAATAAGGTCAGAGGCTCCAGTGTGGGGCTCTGGATCCCTCTCAGGTGACCTCTGCCAGCACCAGGAAACCATGTTCTTACTGCAGCCAGAAACTTGGTCCTGCTTGGCTATTTGGGTCTTTTACTCCTCAACTGTCATTTCTAACCTCAGGAGCAGAGAAGACCAGAGCCAAGGGGGTCTTTTTATCCACTTTGGAGAAGGCTTGGTGACTGGGGCTGTTCACCCTTAGCATGGCAGGCAGCACTGGGCCCTCATTGCCTCGTGTCAAGGTTCTTGGTTGCATTCCTGGGAACACGGCTAGCTGTGCAGCTGGTTCATTGTGGCAGATGTGTGCTGCTGACGTTGACTTGCCCGGCTCTCCTTGAAGAGCAGCCTCTGTTAGCTTTGCAAACTCCCGTCCTTGATTCTGGGTCCCCAAAGTATATGAATTTTAAAAGGACACTTAATCACTTAACCAAAAAGGATTTTTAGGTATCAAAGTCTAGTGTTCTCTCTTTCTCTCAGTGGGGTCTTGCTAGTAGCTCAGGCTAGCCCGGAACTCTTAGCCCTCCCAACCCTGCGTTCTAGGTGTATGCCATCATGCCCTGTGAGCCTAGCAGTCTTCCGATTAGGGGTCTTGGCATCTTTTTCTGATGCATTCTTGGTTTTTAATTTTGACTGCGAGTTTCCTCTCAAAGGACTTTGGGTTGATTGGTTTTAGCTGTTTGTCTGGTTCAAAGTGCAGAGGCAGGCTAGGGGCAACAACAGCTTTCAATCACTGTGGTTGCTGTTGGGTGACGTGGGCACAGGGCTATCCTTGGGAGGAGCACTCTGCTTTCCTTTAGGCTCCAGGGCTGTGTATGTAGCTCCTAGCAGGGTGAGACCTCGGGTTCCATCCCCAGAACACCCCTCCCTCCAAAAATCTCAGAACACACATATTCCAGGGGAAGCTTTTCCAGGACATCACAATGTGAAAAAACCAGCTGGAAGAGTGGCAGCCAAACCTTTGCAGAGAAGAACAGGAGTCCTAGTTTCCAAGAAAGGTAGATTTCCACACTGGAGGCTTGACTCTCCTTTGCTCTATGTGGCAAGCCCCAGATTAGATCCATTAAACTAGTAAACAAGATGCTGTTTCTCCCCTGGAAAGTGCCCCCAAAAGCCCGTCTTCCCATGAAATACCTTAGGGAAATTTTAAGAAAGCAAGACAGGTTATTGTATTTTAAGTTACCAGGCATAACACTCATACTAGGTGGGTCCTGAGCATGCCAGCTTCCTGAGTTGGATGTCGATGAGGATTAGTTGAATTGTGCTTGGAGGTTCTGGGCTTTGAAAGCTGTAGCAACTGAGTCAGAACCCCTATACCCTAAGACCTGCAGCACTTGGGTCCCTGGGGAAAAAAGGAAGGAGCAGGTGGGACTAAGGAAGGGGGCAACCGACACAGGTGGCAGGCTCCCATGCCACTGTCTAAAAGCCCGTACCATTTCAAAGGCAGCAAAAAAGTAAAAAAAAAAAAAAATTGATCTTTGTTTAGATTAACAGACCCCTGACTATGAAGAAGGAAGGCATCCAGACCCGAAACCGGAAGATGTCTAGCAAATCCAAAAAGTGCAAAAAGGTGCATGATGCGCTGGAGGACTTCCCCAAGAGCAGCTCCTTCAACCCGGCTGCCCTCTCCAGACACATGTCATCCTTGAGTCACATCTCCCCGTTCAGCCACTCCAGCCACATGCTGACTACGCCGACGCCCATGCACCCGCCCTCGGGCCTCTCCTTTGGACCTCACCATCCTTCCAGTATGGTCACAGCCATGGGGTAGAGGGAGAGCCCTGCTCCGGACGCACGAGGAGTTTCCGAGTCCACAAAGAATCCCTCTGACCCCTTCTACTTGCGTTTTTGCAGGAGCAGTATCATGAAGCCCGGAAGCGACAGATCTGTGTTTTTGAAGGCAGAAAGCAAAATGCTCGCTTCTTTTTCAAAGGAGCTCCCGGTGGTGTCTGTGTTCCCACCACTGAATCCGGATCCCATTTGTGAATAAGCCATTCAGACTCATATTCCCTATTTAACAGGGTCTCTAGTGCTGTGAAAAAAAAATATTGCTGAACATTGCATATAACTTATATTGTAAGAAATACTGTACATTTGAGGAAGACTTTATTGTACCTGGATAGCTGTAAGAAAGGCATGAAGGACGCCAAGAATTTTAAGGAATATAGGGAAAATAAAGTATGGAGAGAGATACAGAAGAAACTAAGTCTCGATGTCCATTTATGGGCACGCTGTCAGTTTTGTTTCCCTTTAGTTGTTTGATGCATTAAAAAAAAAAAAAAAATAACAAAAAAAGAAAAAAAAAGAAATGAAAAAGAAAAAAAAAAAGAAAAGAAAAAAATCCAAGAAAAAAATTGTTGTAGGCAAATCATATGTTCCAGGCTGTGAGCCTTTGCAAAGGAAATTTCAGATCCGGCAGTCTGTGAAATCCCACCGATTGCCAGTGAGGATTTAAGAATGTCATGTCTAGGCCTACAAGCTCTGTGAACTAGTCCCCTGTAATTGTTGTTTGTATGTATAATTCAGAAGCACCAAAATAAGAAAAGATGTAGATTTATTTCATCATATTATACAGACTGAATTGTTGTATAAATTTATTTACTGCTAGCGTTAAGAACTTTTTTTTTTTTTTTTTTTTTTTTTTTTTTTTTGGTTTTAATGTTTTCCTTCTCCCTGGATTTTCAGTTGAATAAACTAGCTTGCTTTCTCAGTTGACCTAAGGTGGATGTACTCTGGAGGGTTTATTTTTTTCCTTTTTTTTTTGGATGATATTTATTAAATAGCTTCCATGGGCCCAGCGGTTCCTGTCTTTTCCGTCTCTTCTCTTGCAGCCTCAGCTATGAGGGTAGCAGCATAATAGCTACCAACGTGCATGTCAGTGACCTGGCCACACAGGCCATGTCCTGAGAGTAACCTGGCTGACTGTTAGCCCCTGTGTGTTCTGTATTAGTGATCACTGCCTTTAAACAGTCTGTTGGAATAATACTATAAAAATAATAATAAAGTTAAAATATTTTAAAACAACAAAGTAACATTGTATCCAAGTGATGGTCAAGCTCTTAGAGAATTGGGTAGCACTGGCTGATTTCCGAGTTGTTTTCTTTTTTAGCATCCCAAAGCAAACACCAGGAGACCATATGCATCCCAGCAGGGCAACATCCATTCCTTGAATGGGAGAATTATGATTTCCGCTGTTTAGAGAAATCTATCCCTGGGCAAGCACAGCTTCAGGGGTCAGCCTGTGAGCTGCCTGCTTTCCTTGGGCACCTCCAGGAGAAAAATCTTAAAGGAAGAGTGGGCCAACTACCCCGCTGAGATTTCCAGGTGAGACTCAGTCTAGGGATGGATTCCTCTTTGACACTGCAGGCTGGGTGGCTCCTCAGCCCTTTTCCATGTCACTAGCCACTGTCAAATAGCACCACGGTGGACGGTTGTCCAGAACGTCTGCTCCACATGAAATAACCCCTTTGAAACCTGCTGACGGAATGTGGCTGCACACTTACAGGGTCTAGTAATCGTCTCTGCTTCCTTAGCAAATATTTTAAATCTAAAGCTGATGCTGAAGTAAAAGAGCAAGCGCACCGGCAGGGAGGTGGAGACCTTGCTGGCTCCGGGTGGGTGACCAACAGCCCCAATATTGTTCTCCAATCACGTTTGAAGCGCCTAGGAGAGAGCGTCTATTGAACCTGGGAAATTTTATTGTCCGGTTGGTTCCCCATCTCAGGATTCCCGACTTCTCTTCATAAGACCATTTGTGTGAATGCCCTTTCACCTTAAGAACAAGGAATTCAAATTCTTAACATTCCTGGAGAGAAGGGGTAGGGGGACATGGAAAAGAAAAAAACACCTCAATGCTAACAAGCCTGAGTCTTGCTTTGTTTTAGGTAAGGTAGCTAGCTTCTTTACTGGTTCCATGTCATTTCATCATAGCACACTTCGATTTAATTTTCAAGGCTGTTTCTAGAAGATGATGGAAAATCGTAATACAATATCTACATAGCTAAATGATAATGGTTCAGGTTTCCCTTGGAATGCTACCTCATTGCCATGGCTCCAGTAGTTTCTGTTCTTTGGAAAGAAAGAAAGAAAGCAAGAGAGAGAGAGAGAGAGAGAGAGAGAGAGAGAGAGAGAGAGAGAGAGAGAGAGAGGGAGAGGGAGCAGAAGAACAACATTGATGAGGTTTTAATCTGGAAAAACAGGACAAGAACCAGGATACTGCTGAAGTGTTTTTGAGTGAATTGTGTCTTTGATAAATTTTCAATCATTTTTCAAATAACTATCAGCTTTACCATAGAAGAATACCTTAGACATAATATAGGGCTTGGAGAAGGGAGGAAGACACAGTGATTTGGTTTAGGTGTTTTTTTTTTTTAATTAACTTATTTTTATTTTATGTGCACTCATTTTCCTGCATGTATATCTGTGAGAAGGTGTCAGGTCACCTGAAACTGGAGTTACAGGCAGTTATGAGCTGCCATGTGGGTGCTGGGAATTGAACTCGGGTCCTCTGGAAGAGCAGTCAATGCTCTTAATCACTGAGCCATCTCTCCGGCCCCGGTTTAGGTGTTTTTTTTTTTTGTTTTTTGTTTTTGTCTTTAAACAGGGTCTCCCACTGTAGACTGGGTTGGCCTGGTACTCATCGTATAGTTTAGTCTGGTCTCCAACTCTGGGCAATCCTCCTGACTCAGCCTCCCTAGTGCTGGAGTGCCAGGCATGAACCAGCGTGCCTGACTTGGGTTAGGTCTTTAAAACATTTCAAAGGCTAACATAATAAGGGAAAAACTATCTTTGTGGGAGTTCAAGGAGTGAGTATCACTGGATTTAAGCACATTGAGGTTGGTTTTGCGGGTCCATGTCCCTAGTTGAAGCACTGGGGAGGCAGAGGCAGGTATATTGCCTTTAGTTAGAAGTCTGCCTGGGCTATCTGGTGAGTCCTCAGGCAGCCTGGGCTACAAAGTGAGACTCTGTCCTCCAAGCAAAACAAGAGCAAAATAAACAAGTAAAACAAAAATAAACTCTGCTACTTACCAACAAATACCTATTGAAGATCTAGGTCGAATTTCATTTAAAAATTATCTTTTGGATGAAATGGCTCCGCACGTAAAGATGCTAAGTCTGATGACCTGAGCTTGAATCCTGGGACCCAGACAGCAGATGGAAAGAACTGACTCCATAAGTGGTCCTCCGATCTCCATGTGTGAACTGTACTGTGTGGGTGCGCACAAATGCATGCACATGTACACATTCACACTCACACATGATAAACAGATTTTTTTTAAAAGAAGATTTAAAACCATCTTTAAAAAAATAGACTTTAAGAGAAAGTAAGTCAGACATGGTGGCTCACACCCGTAATTGTGGTTGTTTTTAGTTAGAGGCCAGCCTGAGTAATAGTTTAAGATTCTGTCTCAAAAATCTGAAAAAAAAAAAAAAAGAAGAAGAAGAAGAAAGAAAAAGAAAACTAGACCAGGAAATAGAGGAACTACGACCCTTGTGACGCCATTCTTCCTTTGTGACATTAACCTTGTTTTTTCCCTTCAAAATGAGCTTCATAAGTTGTGGTGAGCTCATGACCCTCTGGGTTAGTCCTTCAGGCAGATGGTTGTAATGCAACTTGGGATACTCAGAGGCCGTCTTCTGAGATTAATATTTATTCTCTAAGGTTTAAAGATGATTTTTAGGGGACTGGAGAGAGAGCTCAGAAAACTGTCTGCTGGACAAACTTGAGGATTTGAGTCTGAGCCCCAGACCTTCCCTCACCAAAGCCTGGAGTGGTGGCATGTGTTTATCATCCCAGTGCTAGGCAGGTGGAGACAGGCAGGTTCTGAGGTTGACTTCAGTATGTCAGATGAGTGTGCACACAGGTATGTACAGTGTACATACACACATACACACACACACACACAGATTTTTTAAAGCCTATTCTTCACAAGTGCTTCTCTCTCTCTCTGTCTGTCTCTCTGTCTCTGTCTCTGTCTCTGTCTCTCTCTCTCTCTCTGCTGAGACCAGGTCTCATATAGCCCAGGCTTTTCCGGAGTTCCTTATGTAGCCAAGGATGACTGTGAACTTCTGATCCTCCCGCTTCCACTTCCCAAATACTACCATTACAGGCATAGGCCACCACACTTGGTTTATGTGGTGATGGGTATTTCACTCAAGCTGAGAAAACACTCTACGAACGCGCTAAATCCTCAAACCATTACTATTTTGAGAATTCTTTATTAGGACAGGCTAGAATTTTTAAAAGTGGCATTTGAAAATTTGGAAGTGACAGGATCCAGAAGATTCCAGAAAAGTCTAGTTGGCTTCCCGCTCAGTGGTGCTCACGCTATCGTAAAACATAAATTAACTTGTGCTATCTGACTGACAGTTCTACACAGGAGTCAGCATCTCTGTCTTTGGAGTCTCTGCTCTTTCTGAACTGTGTCCAGGCCCCTCTGGAACTGAATACATGGGACTTACTTGCCCCGCTGATTTTGGCAGCCTGGCTCATCATTCTCCCATGCATCCTGTAAAGAAATCCTGCCTGAATGGCTTACGGGCTATTCTCGGAGTATAGCCAGCATCCAACTTTTCTTTTTCCTTGTCTCTCTCTCTTTCCCATTGGAGAAGGGGATAAACAAAGAACGTAAACCAATGTTCACAAAAGCAGTTCCTTTCCGGGTGCCTCGGTCACATCCCTTCCTGACTGGCCCTTGGCTCCTTTGCAGGGGACCCTGGTACATTAGCTACATTGTCTGTGGTGCATTTTTACAATCCCCTGTCATGTCTGTGTGCATGGTTTGTCAGGCTGAGCATTGGAAAGGGGATTTGGAGAGTGGGCCCCCTCACCCAACTCATCCTGTTGACCCACAGGCCTGGAGCTGAGCAGAAGCCATGGCTTTGGAAACACTGGTCTCACTGCCCTTGTGGGAGGGGTCTGGTCCCTAGCAAGAGCCTAAAGCTTGTGTCAACACCTGAAAGAGACACTGTGTTATGAGGAAGCAGCTTTGGGATGTGGGTTTTATAGCGGAGGGTGCTGAGGAAAAACATGAAGCTGCTGGGTTCTAAAAGGTGACCTGATTCCGTGGCTTGATATAAAGGTGATGTCCTGCAGAAACAGTGCCACAAAGAACCTGCTTGTCTGGGTTATTTGGTGGGTGAAGGTGGGAAGGAAGCCCTGTGGGCACAAGAAACTAATGGGAAATGAAAGTTTTCTTCTTTCTCTCTTTTGTTTTCCATTCTTTTTTCCCAATGACAAAATTGGCTAATACTGATGAACTAAATTTG